TATGAGAGATAAACTGTTTTTAAGAACGTCAAGGCGTCGCGACTTATATAGTCACGCATGCGTGATTATGTCAAATGCCAAAGTAGCACCAAAGTGTTTCGATATCTGTGGCACCTGTGCAAATGCAACATTTTCATTCCACATATCCCGTCAGGATTTACATCCAAGATCATGCCAAACACCATTAAAGAAAGTCACGTTTGACGTTTTCATTTCAGACTTGGCTTTCAGGGGTCTGGATGTGTGTTCGGTGTTTGATTGACAGCAATAAAAGGGGGAAAAACAAGTCAAATGTTATATCAAATTGCGTTTGTTAGCCGGAGCGGGGCCATGCCTGACTGTCCCCACAGGGATTTGGGATAAATATACATGAGAGGTGCAGCTCCAGTCTTTCCATCTAATTTGCGAGCGAAGGTGTGTATGTTTGGCGGAACGATGAGCTGTGGATCTGTAATGGGGGCCGCCGTCCTAACAAGCTGCTTCTGAAGGCTTACGCCGGCGTAAATCCCACCGTCCCGCTCTCTTTACCTGTATCTCCTCCTGCCGTAAGCTTGCACACGTCTGTTCTTCTCATTTGTGAAACGCAGTTGTGTTTTACATGCTTTGCTCGCCCTGGAACCACATTAGGTTGCTACCAGTCGCTGCCCGAGTCTTTTTGACATTCGCTCATATTCACACAAAGCAGACCGAGAGTGTGTTGTTGGGTGTAAATTGGGTTCAGCTGTGGAGATTCAGAGTTGTGTTGGCACCAGAGCTGGGTAGATTACCTACAAATTGTAATCCATTACTGATTCTAAATTACATGACAAAAATTGTAGTTAGTAATGTAATCCATTACATTACATATTGTAGGTAATATAATCAGACTTCTTTTCGATTACTTTTATATCACTTTTGACCTAACTTGTTTATCACATTGATTAAAATAGGATAATCTTGTACCATATTGATATAAAAATACAAAGAGGAAGAAAATATATTCCATTCTTTGTTATTAACATTATGAAGTGAATTAAACATTACGTCAAGGTTTCCCTAACTGGGCTTCATAAAGGAACTGCAGGGGGTTTGTGAGTTTACTGAAAAGTTAATAATTAATTTAATCATAAAAATGTAAAATTCAAATAAATCCCTAACTAACTCACTAATAAACACTTTTAAGATCTGTCTGAAGAGGTGTGAAGCTTGTAAAGTCTATTATCCAACAGAATATTCTTCCTTAAGAAATCCAGATTTTCCAGTTAGAAAAACTGTTTATCGTAGTAATATTTTCATGTTTTTATTTCTAATTAACATACCATTTATTGCAATAAAACTCCTTTATGAACATCCATATTTAACTACACATTGTCATATAAAGCTTCCAATCAGTGAGTTAAATGTTAATTCAGAAACCATTCAGTGATTCTGATTCAATCTGATTCTTTTGAATCGATTCATTAAAAGGACTGGTTCATGAGAGTCATTTGTTTGTGAATCGTACCTCCTCCAGTCGGTGTAATAGAGGTTTCTGCCGTAAGACACGATGGCGAACGGATACTGAATCCCTTCGGTCAGTTTCCTCCTGAGACGAGAGAACGGATCGATACACTCCACCTGACGAGTTCCTGAAACAAACATTACTAGGATTCAACACAGAGAAAAACGCAATAGAAAACGCATGCTTCTGGCCTGATTGTGAATGATTCATCAGTGACGCTATTATAAATAAATCATAAATAAATCACTTAAAAATAAAAACAATCAAAATAGAACACTTACTAAAATGAATTAAATCTTAAAAATGTAATATTAAAACATAAATAATTTAAAAATAAAACACTTACTAAAAACTAATAAAATCATAAAAATTTACAATTAAAATAAATAAATAAATAATAAAAATAAAATTAGACATTTATTAAAAATTAAATAAAACATTTGGAATTAAAATAAATAGTTTAAAAAATAATCAAAATAAATCACTTACTAAAAATAATTAAATCACAAAAATGTACATTTAAAATGAATAAATCATTTTTAAAAAACTATCTAAATAAAACACTAAATTGAATTCAATTTATAAATATAAAATTAAAATAAATACGTAAATATAAAAATAGATAAAAAATAAAACACTAAAAATTAATTAAATAATAAAAATGTACGATTAAAATATTAAATAAATAAATAAAAACAATCAAAATAAAACACTAACTAAAAATTAATAATACCATAAAAAGGGTAACATTTATACAAACAAATCATATAAAAATAAATAAAAATAAAACACTAAAAATGAATAAAATCATAAAAATGTACGATAAAAAATATTAAATAAATAAATAAATAAAAACAATCAAAATAAAACACTAAAATTTATTAAATTTATAAATATAAAATTAAAATAAATACGTCAATATAAAAATAAATAAAAATAAAACAAAAAAAATTAATTAAATAATAAAAATGCACAATTAAAATATTAAATAAATAATTTAAAAATAAAAACAATCAAAATAAAACACTTGCTAAATATTAATAAATCCATAAAAAGGGTAACATTTAAATAAACAAATCATATAAAAATAAATAAAAATAAAACATATAAAAATAAATAATACATTCAAAGTAAAATGCTTCTATGCACTTCTTCTCTAGTGCTGTTATTATAAAGAAAGAGAATATCTTCATAATCTTTCAACAATAATAATTAAGCACCACATGATTCATGATGAATACATGTGAAGCTGACCTGCGTCCGCCCAGCAGAGCCGCCTGCTCTGGGGGTCAAAGGTCAAAGCGTTGGGCAGCCCCAGCCCTTCCTGCACCAGCACCGTCCTGTCGCTCCCGTCCAAACCGGAGCGCTCGATCTTGGGCCCGTCACGGTTCCAGTCGGACCAGAACAGGTATCTGGAGAACAGAGAGATGTGTGTCATACATGAGTGTGTGTTCTTCATAACGGCGTGACGAAACACACACGTACCCGAAGGCGGGGTCAGTGATGATTGGTCGCGGGTTGATGAGGTCATCGTCAAAGAGGACACGCCTCTGACTTCCGTCCAATCGGGACACCTCGATGCGGTCCAGTATGGAGTCGGTCCAGTACATGTTTCTGGACATGTGATCGATGGCGATTCCCTCAGGACTGCCCAGATCTGCTCACGGAAACAACATACAGTGGGTTTCCATGACGAGAGTCTGACACATTTTAAAAAACAAAACCAATGTTGCAAGGAAGTTTCCAGTGGACACAAACAGCACTTGGAAACTGAAGTGACAATCAGAAATGTGTGAAATAAAACATCAAAGGGAGAGGCATTCATGCAATATTTTTCATTTATCACAGGGTTTTCCGAACTGGGCTTCAAGAACGAGTTGGAAATTAATTAAAATTAATTAAATCATAAAAATGTCAAATTGAAATTAAAAAAAAAATTTAATAAATAAATAAATAAATAAATAACAAAAACACTTTAAAATGAAAAAAAAAATCAATAAAAATACTTACTAAAAATGAATAAAATCATAAAAAATTTTATAAAATAAATATTATTAAAATAAAAACAATCAAAATAAGACACTAATTAACAATTAATTAAACCATAAATAAGTGAGTGAGTGTTTGTGAGTGTGTGTGTGTGTGTGTCTGAGTGAGTGAGTGAGTGAGTGAGTGAGTGTTTGTCTCAATTTCACAAAATTGACCCTCATTACTGGTTTTGTGGTCCAGGGTCACATATGTGTGTGTTTTCTTCAGAGCGGCGTGATCAAACGCACACGTACCCGTAGGCGGGGTCAGCGACGATCGGTCGCGGGTTGATAAGGTCACTGTCAAAGACGAGGCGCCGCTGACTGCCGTCTAGTCTGGACACCTCGATGCGGTCCAGTATGGAGTCGGTCCAGTACATGTTTCTGGACATGTGATCGATGGCGATTCCTTCAGGGCTGCCCAGATCTGCTCACAGAAATATCCATAACTAGAGCTTGATATGTTTCAAAAAACAAAACAAATGTTGCAAAGAATTTTTTGAAGTAACATTTTGTCTGAATGTCATTACATTAAATAAACGATCAAAGCAGGTGGCATTTATTTAATATTTTTTATTTATCACAGGGTTTCCCAAGCTGGGGTTCATGAATGAGCTGATTGAAATCTAATAATTAATTGCTAAAAATTTATTAAATCATAAAAATTTAAAATTAAAATAAATCATTTTAAAAGAAAAACACTTCAAAGTAAAACACTTTAAAATAAAAAAACGATAAATTATAAAACAATAAAAAATTAAATAAAAACAATTTTTAAATAAAAACAATAAAAATAAGACACTAGTTAAAAATTAAACCATAAAAATGCGAAATTAAAATAAATACATAATTAAAAAGAACACAATCTAAATAAAACACTACAACAATTATATCATAAAAATGTTATACTATAATAAATAAATAATTTAAAAATAAAAACAATCACAATAAAAAGCTTACTACAAATAAATCATAAAAATATAATAAACCGACATCAGAGAACCGTGAATGTGCAAATGTGTTGTTAAATTATAGTTGTTGTTAGATTATTACGATAACTTAAAATCTCAGTAAACATAGCATTTCAGTAAATAACTAACAATCTAAATGGTAAATATTTTAGGTGAAAGGGGTTGAGGTGATGAAAGCGTCAGGGCATTCAGGTATTGTAGTGTGATTGTGAATCAGTATTAGAGAGTCGCTCACCTTTAGCGACGAGGACCGAGGTTTCTCCTCCCTGCAGCTTCGCTCTGCTGATGGAGGGCTGAGTGATTTCAGACCAGTAGATCATCTGCTCCACGCAGTCGAACGCCACCGCGATCACCACTTTACCCTGCAAACATGAGCGCAAACGCCACGGCTGAGAGAGCAACAGGTGCACGGCACAGCGATACAACAGAGAACGAACAACGGCCCACAAGTAATAATGAACAAAAATATATAACTTCACACTCACACTTTATTTGCAGGAAAAAGTCATTTTTATGCTCGTTTGTTTATATTTTAACACAATGGCAGCTACCATGGCTACTTTCATTGCAAAAATTGTTAAAATGTAGATAGATAAATAAATAAATAATACAAAATAAATAAATATTTTAAAAATTAAAAAGGTTAAAATGAAGAAAATATTAATTAATTAATAATTAATTTAAAACAGTAAAAATGTTGCTAAATATATTAATTAATTAACTAACTAACCAACAAAGGTTAAACTAGCATGAATGAATGAATGAATCATTTTAAAAATAAAAAAGGATAAAATGTAGCAAAATGTAAATAAATAATAAAAAAATAAAAAAGGTTCAAATGTAGCAAGATATAAAAAAATGAACAATTTTAATAAATAATTTAAGGTTCAAATGTACCAATTTTTTTTTTATATATAAAAAAGGATTATCAAAAAGCTTATTTTTGATTACAAATTGAAAGCTAAATCTGGCCTCACTTCATTTAAGATCCTTTCATATGAATCCACTGAACAGTAAACTTAAAAGCATGACAGTCCGTTCAAATATGCTTCAAAGATACTGATTTTTGGAGCAAAATAAGGAGCCAATAAGAGGGTCTTTGATTTTTCATGCATGTTTTTCAGTGTGCATGAAGTGTTTCTCTGCTGCGGCTGCGTGAGCGACTCTGGAGAATCTCAAACATCCCACAGCCGCTTCAGAAAACCCTCTCCTGTGTGCTAGTGTCCTGCTGGACTCATGACTGCAGGTCGTGTCTGTCGGTGGTCACCACAGCAGTAAAGTGAGGTTTTGTCATATTTCAGTGCAGATTTGACAGTTTCTGGATCCATTTAGAAACAATTTAGCATCATATTGAGGCTCCAAGAAACTAAAATCAATTTTCTTCAACAGTACATCTATTGTTTTAGCTTTTCAAACCCAACAAACGTCTGTCTGTCAAACATATTGATGTTTGTGCATCTTTATTTACAGAAAATGACACTTGCTTTCATATTATGTGTGCAATTTAAGCGTGACTTCAAAATATTAATTAATTAATTAATTAAAAAGGCTAAAATGTAGCAAAATATAAATAAATTAATTAATTAATTAATTAATCAATACTTTTTTTAATTTAAAAGGTTAAAATGTAGCAAAATATAAATGAATAAATAAATCAATTAATTATTTAAAAAAATTTAAAAGGCTAAAATGTAGCAAAATATAAATAAATAATAGTAAAAATTTAAAGAAAATGTAGCAAAATATAAATAAATAAATTAATTAATTAATTAATCAATAATTTTTCAAATTTAAAAGGTTAAAATGTAGCAACATATAAATGAATAAATTAATTAATTAATTAATCAATAATTTTTTTAATTTAAAAGGTTAAAATGTAGCAAAATATAAATGAATAAATAAATTAATTAATTAATCAATAATTTTTTTAATTTAAAAGGTTCAAATGTAGCAAAATATAAATAATAGTAAAAATTAAAAGGTTAAAATGTAGCAAAATATAAATGAATAAATACATGAATTAATTAATCAATCATTTTTACAATTTTAAAGGTTAAAATGTAGCAAAATATAAATGAAAAAATAAATGAATTATAAATAATTTATTAATCTTACAAACTAAAAATGTTAAAATGTAGCAAAATTTAAATAAATAAATGTAAACATTAAAAAAAGGTTAAAATCTAGCAAAATCTAAGTACATAAATATTTTTAAAATGAAAAAAGGTCTAAATGTAGCAAAATCTAAATAAATAAATCATTGTAAAAATTAAACGAGGTTAAAATGTGGCAAAATATAAATAAATAAATAAATTAATTAATTAATTAATCAATAATTTTTTTAATTTAAAAGGTTAAAATAAATAAACACATGTAAAAAGTAAAAAATGTTAAAATGTAGCAAAATATAAATGAAAAAATAAATGAATTATAAATAATTTATTAATAATCTTAAAAATTAAAAATGTTAAAATGTAGTAAAATTTAAATAAATAAATGTAAACATTAAAAAAGGTTAAAATCTTGCAAAATCTAAGTACATAAATAAATAAATATCTGTAAAAATGAAAAAAGGTCTAAATGTAGCAAACTCTAAATAAATAAATAATTGGAAAAATTAAACAAGGTTAAAATGTAGCAAAATATAAATGAAAATAAATAAATAAAAATTAATTAATTAATTCAAAAAGGTTAAAAGTATAAAAATAAATGAATGCATAAATATATAAAATATCAATCACATATATGTTTTGGGGCCATTATGTGCGTCTAATATTCTCACAGAAGCACGTTTGCTGAACTCACAGGTTCGTGCAGAACGGTCTTCGCCTCGTCTTGCATCATCCGGTTGCCGTCCAGCGGGATGTGGTCGATCCTGCCGCTTTGAGTGAATAAGAGGTTTGCTCCAGGAGTCAGAGGACTGATGTCGGCTCTGGGGGTGGGGCCAATGAGGGGCGGAGCCACATTGTGATCAAGACCTATGGAAAGAGGGAGGGGCTTGCTGGCATTAACGCTCGTATTACATTAAATATCTGAGTATGATCTTTATGGTGCGGGTTAAATTGGGTTCAATATAATTCACCAAAAATCACACTATGAAAAAAAAAATAGTAAGTAAATAATTAAATCAAAAAGGTTATATTAAAATAAATAATTTAAAAATCTAAATAAAACAAAAATAAATACAAATAAAAATGCATTAAATTATATGTAAAATATGTCAAATTAAATCATTCAAAAATGTAAATAAAAAATGTAAATAAAACATTTATTACAAATTCATTACATCATAAAAATGTAAAATTAAAACATAAGAAAAAAAGATAAAAACTAATTTTATTTTAGGTCAAAAGGGTTCGGCTGACAAAAAAATGTGGAAACCTGATCTAATACAACAACATTCAGGCATTTTAGTGTGACTTATGTGAAAAACAAACACAAACAAATCTGTTAAAACCAAACCTTTAACATCATTAGTTCTCACACACTACAAAAAATTTAAATAAATATTAAAACCTATGATTTTTTTTCTGAAATTTCACAAGTTGCATATTTTATAAACAGTATTGTAACTATTTAAAAAAAAAATTTAACACATAAAAAAAAAGCATGGAAAAGCACATAATCTTTGTGCTTTCCTGAAGCTCAGACTGCAAATGCATGGCGCTCGCAACGCCAAAATTATGGGTAAACTGTACGCCATCAATGCAGTGTACGTTACTACGGGTAAAGCATCTGCCAAATGCATGAATGCAAACACTATTAGAGGGTTTGACAGAACATGTTTTCCATGCAGCTGAAATATCCAGGTCAAACTGACCCACAAACATCATAGTTGTAATATAAATACTATTGCATGACACATCGAAACTTTGCATGCATGCTCATGACTCTAAGCCACAAAATATCCAAATAAAAACCATAGGTTAATCAGTGTTTCCAAAGGAGCCGCTCTCTGCTCTTACACATGGGTCTGCTGCTCGGTTGGGCTCTGGATCCGGGAAGCTCCTGTCCGGACGAGTCGACGCACCAGCACTGAGCCACGCTGGCGTGACACTGCAGGGGTTCGTAAGCACCGTAAGCGTCACAGCTGGGCACGTACTGACCGACGGCCGGACGCGGACGGAAGAAGAAGAATCCAGCCGAGGAAGAGGACGAGGCCTGGGCTGCTTCTCTGTGACGCTCACACGCCGTCTGCTCACGATCTGCAGTGGACAGACAGACGATGAAAAATCAATCATTCTATTGCTCTTTTGCAATAACAGACAAGACAAAACCAGTCTTAA